ACACTTTTCTCGCTGGCCTCGATCATCTCGCGTGTACTAGAAGTACTTGTAAGCGGATTTGGAAGTGTCAAGTCCACGGACTCGATTGGCTAGATTTCATTCGGAAGTGATCCGCCGTCGCTAAACCTCTCTCGGAGCCTCGAAGTTGCACGTGCAGTTTTAGTTGAAAGCAAAAGTGGAATAGAAATGATGTTTGGGAATAATTAAACAGAACCATCTCTACTAAGAAACTACATTAAAACTACATTATCGTGGTACTCCAAGAGATCAATGAAAGATGGATCCATTCATCGCTGGTGTACGTTTATGTACCTCGACTCGAAATTATCGATCTCAAAAGTTTCTCTTCTTTTGATCGTATGGTTTTTCGTTACGAATTTCAGTGCGATTGCAGTGCAATTTCAGTTCGATTGAAATCAATTTCATTGCTCTCCTCCCATCTTAAATTCTTGTATTGTGTTCCTAATTCTCGCATGCGTTCATAAGGCTAATACGAGGCCTGGTATAGGTAAAGAAATGATGGAATAGAATAATTTTCAGGTATAATTAAAAGAACAGATGTTAAGTAAAACAATCCAAAATAAGTAGTCCTTTCCTTGGACTAAAACTGGATCGCCTCCAGGAAACTGGTGAAAGGTGGACTCATTCTTCCCTGGTGTACACGTACGCGTGTAACGAGTGGAAGGACCTTTTCAGCAAAGAAGGACCACCCGATTTAAGGGATTACGATCGATGGCAGAGATCGTGACGGTGATTTAATGATCGAGGACGATCTCGAAATTCTAAGTGCAAGGGCACGCTTGAGGAGACCGAGAGGAAGGGAAACCGTCTTGCAGGGACTTCGAAAGGCTCAGGAGCTTTTGGCGAACTTGAAATCCTAGGAAACTAGGATCTTCCCAGGGAATTGAAGGACTTTCGATCGGACCGAATACCAGTGACTTTCCGAGGGCCGATAAGCGTATAATGGATAACGCAGCCGAGCTCGATAATACCCATACGGTCCTAAAGCGGCAAAAGAGGCTCTACGGTACCATTTCTTTTAAAGGCCCCTCCGAAGGAGCGCTAAAGGCCAATTCCCAGCGAAATAGAAAAAAAAAAAAAGGAAAAGTGTCCCTCCCGTAATAATCTAACGACGACATTCTTGTTGCAGCCGGACTGCTCCCGCGGGACTTTGCCAAAGGCTGCGCTGGCAGGTCTGATAAAAACGTCGGGGAAGCACTGCGCTTGACAGTAAAAACTACTTGCCCCCGATGTTCGCTTTATATGTGGCAGACTTGTATAATGAAAATTTCACGCGAGACTCACGGTAAAAAGTACCGGGCGAGATTACTCCGATAACACCGTCGGCCCTTTTAATGAAAATCCCGGGCTTCGGGCTCGTCTCGTCCGCGTCTTCTTTTGTGCATTAACATGCACTCCCGTAGGTGCACCGTAATTTTATTTCATGACGTTCTCGTATCTTACATTTAATATTCGTACCGACGAATCATCCTCAATGATACATTTAATATCCGTACCGACGAATCATCCTCAATGATACATTTAATATCCGTACCGACGAATCATCCTCAATAATATAATTAATATTCACACGGTACGACTCCCTTAAAGCGAGGAAAAACCCACCGAGGAACTCGATCGTTGCCGATGAAGAAAAAAATTGTTCTAACCGATGTGCTAATCGACTGCAAGGCTGTTGCAGTTAGCGCCAGCTAAATGTTGTCTCTAAGAGCTCGTGCACTGCACACGATTCTTTCAATCCATCACAGAAATTCCCAAGACAATTTTTCCGCCTTCGCGACTTTCAAATGCACGTTTCTCGATTACTCCGAGTATTCTAAGTTATTGTGCAACAGTCCTGGAACTCGATTCTCGAGCTCGTTAAGATTTTTTTTCGCATATGAATGGATTCTAATAAAAAATGTTGCATTGTTGCGAAGTCGCGTCATTGGTCAACATTTGAAAGTCTTACATGAAACTGTGAATTTCGCATGCGAAATCTGATCGTATGAACTCGAGAATCGGGTCCTTGACCCTATCGTATCTCATATCAGAGCCTTCAAGTACAATGATAGAAACATGTGTGCACGATTATTAAATTTTGGTCTAGTCAAAATCGAAAAAGATCTTCCCCTAAATCCAAATTTTGAAGCTGCCAGGATATTCCTTAAGTACCCGCAATTCACGTACAAAAGTCTCAGATAGGTTGGCGCAATATTCATAACAAAAAGGTATTCAAATTGACTGGTTTGAAGCGAGCCTCGTAGGAAAAATTGCAATATCGCGCTCCCGGAAGTTCGTATCCACTTTTAATCCGCGAAAAAAGTGGAAAATAAATGGCGGGAAATTTGATTAACTTCAGTTGTCCGGCTCGTTCGCGAGACAGGCGACGTGATTACGGCGAGAGTTTAAAGAGCCCCCGAGTTTGCGGGGTTTATAATTGATCCCAAACTGTCAATCGGCGGAGAGGGCTTTCTGCCCCCTATGACGCCGTCCGCTATAATTAAATGCAATAATCGTATAAATCAGTCAGCCGGGCCGCGAACCACGATGGAAATTTATTGTCATCGGCCCGCTATCTCGGAAACAATGCGCAGAAGTCGCCGCGGTTTGCAAGGCTTCAATTTTCCACCCACGCGGTCCTAATAACTCTGCCCCGGACAATTACAGCCGCGATATGTCGAGCCTTCTAATTGTAGCGCGCAGCGTCAACGCTGCGGTATTGCGCCGGTAATAACACGAGCACTCGATCATCCAGATCAGCGACATATCGACTCGCGAATGCGCGTGCACCCGATGACGGCAACCGTTTGCTCCAATTCCGCGAACTCGTGCTAATTGTAAGTACAATAACACGGGGCATGCGGAAGTGAAACAAAGATGACGCGAGAAGGACCCCCTACGTTTCCCGGTAATGTTAAGGCGATGTCAAAGAGGCGTCGAAGAGATTTTGTTTATGAAACTTTTCCCCGAACTGAGTGTACGAACCGTTTCAAACTTGACAATATAAATATGCAAGCTATAAAAAAGGTCCTGAAACTCAAGAAATTTCAATTTTTTTTAATTTGTTTATAGGTATTTCTAAATTTGTTAATAAAAAATGAAATTTTATGGATGTCAGGACCTTCCTCAAAGCCTCCATATTGACGTTATAAAGTTTAAAACGAATCGGTACACCCAGTTCGGAGAAAAGTTTCATGAACGATTGACTCCTAAGATGCCACTTTCACATCCCCTTAAGGAGTCAATGTTCATGAAACTTTCTCCTAATTGTGTGCATCAATTTGTTACAAATTTTACTAATTGAATAAGGAGACCCTAAGGTAGGTCTTGAAACTCGCAAAATTCCATTTTTATAAAAATTGTTGAAAATAGCTATAAACAAATTATCTTAACATTGAAATTTTATGGGTTACAGGACATTCCTTATAGCCTCCAAATTCACATTGTCAAGTTTGAGACAATTCGGTACATCCAGTTTGGAGAAAACTTTAATGAACGATTTACCCCCAAGATGCCACTTTCACATCCCCTTAAAACCGTCTTTCGCTAAGAAGACAAATGTTCCTTTTCCCGTGCATATTAACGGGATGAGTTACCATTGCGTCGCTTTATTATAATTTATTCCAATGCATCGTACAGGGTAGGTCATAATAGTTGCACGTTTCTCGGCGAAAGCACCAAGACATCGAAATTCTCTATCTTGGAGGGATATGCGTCACTCTACGGATTTACCTTGGGTGTCACAGGCGCGTTACGTTCTGCGTTTAGAATGTCAGTGATGTCGGTAACACCGGTAATTGCCCGTCGCATAAACGCGGGTGTGACGCACCGCACCTTGCGGTAAAAGCGCAATGCGTTATCGACGTAACAGTATCGCGAGTTGTAATTGCGCGGAGCCAAAGGCATCGGTTCGGTTGGCAATTGGTCCACCTGACCGATGTAAATTTCCTCGTCAAAGGGGATTTATGGGTCACGGGTGGGACCAATTCCGCAAGAGAACCGCGCGAAAAGGGTAAAGTTCCTCGACGGAACACACGTCGGTCCCTTAAAAGGATATGAAAGAGTCAGCCTATATATATCTGAGAAGTCAAATCGTTGGGGACGGTATTCTCCCAAATGGGTGTACCGATTCGTTTGAAATTTTACCACGTGAATATGGGGGCCCTAAAGTAGGTCCTGAAATTCACGAAATTTCATTTGTCATTTTATGCAAATATTTATTTATTTGTCATGAACTAAAACCAACATGGCGTGGTCTGTGCGCGTTTTTGATGTTTTACGCTTCTTGGAGGCTTAGAATCGAAAATGAAGAGTTTGAGGACCTAGCTCGAAGAATTTAAAATACCGTAGAAATGGAATATTACAGAGTCAGATGGGAAAATGTGGTAAATACTTTCACCAACGATTTCAAGGCTTGTCCTGCGGCTAACGCGTGTTTTTGGAGCAAAAATTTAGTTGCAGCTAAACGTCACAAATGGCGACGTTTGTTCGTCGAGATATATGAACAGTCATGAATTCATGGGATCTTGGCAGTTTTACGTCGATCTTTTTATCATTACTTTACCGAAATAGCATATAGAACCCTTTAGTTCGCATAATTCTCAACGTAGACTGTACCAGACTTCAGCATAAATGTAAATATCGGAAATGGGACGCGCCAGCTTATGTTCCCACTTGAGTATTCAAAACGGCATTACCGCCAAAAAGGGTATAGATAAATTTTACTTTATCGACGTCGATTAAATTTCTTCCCGCCTTTCATATCCTCTTAAGGGCTCACCTCGAGGGTGAAAGCATCTTGGAGTTAAGCAGCTGCCGTTCCATTTAAAGCGACACCCGCGCCCGGAAAATTGAGCGGAAGTTGGATCGTTAGTTAATTGCGCAAGCCCTCTCGCCGCAACTTCAATTGAATCCTTTAAACTTAATCGTCTCTGAATACTAAATACTTTCAATTAAAACTCTCAAGGAAGTTCGTAAATTGGCCGGGAGTGACTTACCATTCAGGGTCGCCTTGTCCAGGGAATTGAAGATGTCGTCTGGAACAAAAAAAAGAGAGAGAAGGTGGAGGTGAGAAAACGTCGAGCTACATACCTGTAGATCCCTTAGAGGAGAAAAAGTACCTCTCGGCGAAAGGAGAGCACGAGAGACTCCGATATTATGGCTTCGGAAAATTCGACTTTCCGCCTCTCTTTGCGAGCCATATTACATGCATGGAAATATACGCGGATTTCCAGTTAATACGTGAAGTGCGCTCGCCGGCAATATCGAGCGAAATCATAAACAAATACGCGATATGGAGCCGAAGAAACGCTGCAAATGCAACGATATGAATTCTCCGAATGATTGGCGATGCGTTTGAACGCGTGTTTGCGAAACTGTGCATTAGACGAAATGAACAAAGCTTATTCGGGCCATTAGTCGACGATAGACAACCGCTGGTAATACTTCGTGCCCCGTATGCATATAAACGACAAACTATTAAATATTTGCCGAAACAGGGTATACCTATTCAATGCAATTAATTAGTATCCGTCCGTATAAATTGTACCGATATTTGCAAGGGTAATCAATGGAGGTCCTTCCATTTGTGCTACCAAAATGGCGGAACGCTTTTAGAACATGTTCCTGGCCTTCGAGCAGAAATGAATCAGATCAAAATATACATTTTAACACGTTTTAATCATTGCGTAAAAATACGAGTTAGTTTAAATACAAAAATCCAATTGTAACTGCATGAGTACCGAGATGAGGTGTAAGTTACATCTCCGACACACGAAAAGGTAACCGATTCGACATCGCTATAATCGTCATCCAGTTTGAGACACAAACAAAATTAACAAGCTTATTGGAATGTTTCCATGATGTAGACGTTTGTGCCATGTTAAGTTTTGTTTGTGCCATTTTTTCATAAAAACCAGAGCTGTTAAAAAAATAAACAAATTCCAAGAATGACCATTTTAACGTTTTTGAGATTCTGGGAGACTCCGAATTTTCCTAGCTGTCAAGGCCAACCTCTATCGGTCCCAAAAAATTCTGAGCATAAGTACTCCCCGCGATTTACATGCGTAAATTAATGCAAGCCACTGCGAGAAGCCTAAGCCATGAAAAAAAAACCTTGAAAATGGCCATTTTAACGTTTTTGAGGTTCTGGGAGGCTCTGAATTTCCCTAACGTCAGAGAACCCGTTAAAGTCTAAAAATCCAAATTTCCACGATTTCGGAGTTTTTTTAACAGCTCAGGTTTTTATAAAGAAATGCCAGGAACGAAACTCGACATAGCACAAACGTCTACATCATGGAAACATTGCAATAAGCCTATTAACTTTGTGCCTCAAACTGGATTCCAGGTTCCCACAGCGGACAGTCGTGAGGAACGCTCGCAGGAATTCCTGTGAATTCTTTCACCTCCGACCGGAGCTAAAGTGCGAGGCCGGCATTTTTTGGACATCGAGAGGCAAGTGATAGGGCGATAGGACGTCCCGACGCTACTATCACCGGAAGTAAAACTGATTGGATCGAAAACGTGAGGGGAGTGCGTGAGACGGGGGAGATCGGCGAATGGCCGTCGCGGGGCCAGGACGAGACGGGGAAGTGTATCGCGGAAAGGGCGGGAGACGTCGATGACCGGGAGGAAACGAGGAAAAATTCATAACCTCTTTCCAGGCCGCGACAGATAAGGCGGCATCGAGGAAAAACTTTCGAGCCGCTCGCGGGCAAATACTTTTTCATTAGAGGGATGCATTCGCCTCGCAAAGTCGCATCCCCGATCTCCCTGGGAACGGTGTCTATGCGCGTAATCGCGTTGTCGGCGTCACCCGGTCGCTGTTCAACGAGAAGCTTTTATTTCATTCAAAAGGTACTCGCGGCGTAAAGCCGGTTAAAAATAATTCAAATAGCCTTGTCGGAGGGCCGGGCGTGGGCTCTACGCAATCGAAAAAGGCGAAAAAGGTACTCTTTCGGGGGAAAATGAATCTGAATCGACCCGCCGATACACTCGAGAGGTGAAGACCTTTCATTTTTACCGATACACCGGAGTCCTGTCTATCCGCGGTGTTATTAGCCTATTTCCCTCCCCAAACTTCCCTTCGACTCGGATTTACCTTTCCGGGCATCGAGTAAACTACCTTCCCTGTGTACATCGTTATCCACCCACCGGGGGGCACGCGTACTCCAAACGAGACTAACTCCCCGGAAAAGTTCACTTCCTTTCACCCCAGAAGATGCTCTTTCGATCCAGGATTTGCATAGCTGGAATTTCGAAAGATTTTTCAACGACTTCGAAATTCCTTTGCGGCCTGCCTCAACATTCGAAACATCACGGGATGCGTCTTATCGGACCGGTCCTTGTGGCGGTATCTTTTTTCCGCCACTTTAGGATAAGGGAAGTTTCTCTATTCTCTGGACGCCTTTGGACCTTTGACATCTTTCCGTCCGTTCCTGCGCTCGCTTGGCGAACCTCCATTTTTGCCGCTGCCTAATAAGAAAAAAAGGGAAACGGAGATAGCAAGACCGAGCTATTCCGAGGGGGAGAGAAAGATACGGCGAGGAGTATCTCTTGAAATGCGCCCCCCGTGGCTATGTCCTTTTCTCATTAACGTGAACGCCTCTACCACTCCGGCTTCTCCATTCTCGTTACCGACTCGGCTACCTTCTTTATTTATATTTTTTTTTCATTAACACGTTACACATCTCATTTCGGCCAGCACTCCCGGCACTTGACTCTAGCGTGATAAGGCTGACCCTTTAATCCGAAGCGATTACCTCCGGTCGTTTAAATCACGAGCGTCGACATAAAAAATGGGGACGTTGAATTGAGTTCAATTTAATTTCTTTTGAAATTTCCTCGGTGCGATAGAAGATAAACTATCATGTCTATTATTACGTTTGAGTAAAAAGTTGATTAATCATTTTGTAAATACCGATAAAGGAGCGGTTTAAACATTAAAGAGCTCCACCAATTGGCGGTAAGAGTACCATGTGCGAGGTTTTATATGAACAATTTGGCAATGCGCTCTTCACCATTGTTCGGTTGTAACCTTTTACGGCAACCTTTCGGGAAATTCGCGTGGCTCGACGCAGAAACTAATTCACATCCGGCAATGTTGCGAAAATAAACGCGCATTTTACCATTCAGCCTCTATACCGAATTTCCTACGGAATTCGTGAGAGGGCGGAACGCTTGAAAAAAAAAAAGAAAAAAGAAGAAAAAAGACCCATCACGCATCGATCGATGCTCAAGGGGAATCAAGTACCGTTTGTTTGCGTGGAAACAATGCATTGTTGACTTACGAAGGAAATTGGCCGCAATTGCACCTGATATTAGCACGGACACTTAAAATATTTACCTTCGTACAAAGAACTGTAGATAAATGTAGGACCTATAAACGAACGGACGAGAAAGCAGAAAATTTTAGCAAACCTACACTTGTGGGAATCTGATTTAATTAAATGAACTAGAAATGACGGAAATGATACAACATAACCCGGGTTAAAACCAACGTAAAGCGAAATAAATGCTGAATACCGCACTGTTAAAAAAAGTACAGCCTGAATTTCTGACGCCTCTGTACTAAACCGATCTCACCGTACTTACAGAGACACGGGAATGGATAAAAAAAAGCATTTGGCAAATATAAAACGGCGAAAGTACTCGAGATCAAACTGAAGTCGAAATTCTGCGGCAAGGGAAAGAGTACTTGAGGCAGTCGCCTCTTACGTCTCTGGAGAAATGCGGGAAACTTTCTTAAAGCTAACAAAAGGACGAGCTTCTTCGGCTCTTGGCCGAGTTTGATTACATTCGTGCAATTTCATAACACCGAGAATATCCAACCAGGGAGAATGCAGTCGAATCCTCGTGGTGAATCTATTGTTAGACAGTTTTATAGTCAAGAAGAGGATGCACTAACCGTATGCAATCTTGGCCCTCAGATTCAGCTCGCACTCGCGTTTCGTCTTGTAAGTATAAGGTTCTGGTTCATCCTGACACCAAAGAACCGGAGGACCGCACACGCACTTTCCACTGTCCACTGCGTTTCCGCTTCCTCCTCCGACGCCGTCGCTCACCAGGTCGCATCCCGACTTAGTCTTCGGGCCATGGGGACAGTGCCTCCTCCATCTTCCAGGGATCTCTAGAACAAGTAAAACAAAGATTAATGACAAAAATGCTATACCTTTCATTAAGATTTTCAATACCCGAATCCAACTTTGTATGCGACTTTTTTGTTTGCAAAATCATTTTTACTTGAAACAAAATCGTCATCATTTGGCTTAAATGCCGATGATTCCTACGATATCAATGTCAATAGAGCCAAGAAATTTGTTTGGCAAGAAACATTGCCACGAGTAATTAATTTCGTCTAGAAAGTAAATTTTTGACATCGTTTGAGAACAGTAAGGAACAATCCTCACCGTAACAATTCGAATTATAACAATCGATCTCAGTTGAACTTCGAAATTCTCTGTTCTTTTAATCCTGCAGTTTGCCCACGGAAATCTGAATCCCATTTAGTTCATTGAGAACCTCAAAGTTCATTTTTCTCAATGGAATCCAGAAGCCTTCGGAACGTTTCAATTGATTTGAAGCTTGAAAATCGCAAAATTTGGTGGTTATTCCATTTTATACAAGTTAGATCTGAAAATCTTCGAACTACCAATCATCGAAGAAGGAAAAATTGTTAATCCATGGCCTTGATCATTCTGTTATGTAATGTAAAGCCTATTAGAGATATGAATTCATTGTTGCATTCATAAAATACAGAATCTTAAGTATGTAAAATTTAATATTACAACTTATAATAATTTATATAAAACTCCATTTCTGGGGTCAGGCGTGAAGCGAAGGACATCGACGACAAAGTCGATTAAGTATTTGCAAATTAAATTTTTCTGAGGTTTCAATCAAATGCTCGTTTGATCGTGCTCGATCCTACAAACGGACATAAGTGTATATTCGAGGTTTAAATAAAACAAATTTTATTAACATCTTCCTATCTTAAATTCATGTACTGTACTCCAATTCTTTACATACGTTCGTGAGGTTTATACGAGATAAAAATTGTCTATTCAGGAAAACCCCTGATTATCCTGCGCGAAGCTGTAACAGTACAAAACCTCATACTAATTGCTGGAACTATTTTCTATCGACAAGTTAATTAGGTTAAATAATAACGTAAGTCGGACATCGGGGGAATATATTTATACCGAGTCGAATCTAACGAACCGAAAAAGGTCCATATAAACGGAGCCAATCGCTCTAACCGATCGATCTTCCATCCGATCGTTCGTAACCGATTCAGGATAATCCCAAAATGTCGACTTATCGACTTGTATACCAGCCCCGAAAGTACATCCGTGTAAGCGATCTCGACGACTAATCGGATCGGCGTATAAGTTTAATAATCCATTTAGCTCATCCATGAAATCGGATTTTTGCTGATGGGCCCGCGCTAGAGAAATACCGCCAAAGAACTCGGCTCGAATTCATTTGGAATTAATAACCCGAATACGGCCCCTCGATTGGCTAGAACACGATTAGAACGCCAACGCGGGTTTTCGTTTTACGTTTGATGATAATGGCTCGCAATCTTTCGGAGCAATAATGCGGAATATGAGGCCGCGCGATGCGAATCGCGCCGAGAGACCCTTGCAGCATGCTGCAGGTGATTCGTAACAGCCGGTGTGGCTGTATGCCGATTAAGGGCCGATTCAATGAGGTCCCGAAAGCTGGAGGATTTTTCAAGAAATTAATTAAACCCCTGAAATCACCGAACCCTTAATGAAATATTCCTCAAGATCGATAGGGCAGAGTTTTGAAGTTTTCCTTTGGAGAAGCAAATTAATGTGGCTCGAAATCGTGCAAGTAGGTCGGCAGGGGTCGTCCTCCGTCTATCGCGGAATCATTTCTCTTGATAGAAAAAGAAACGAGAGCCTTGGGAGGAGTTAGAGATCGGCGTAAAATTTATTTCCGCGTGCTCCGTCGCCGGGAGGAACGGGAAATGGCGATTCACGCGGGAAAAGTCCATCCGACGTCGCTGGAAAATGGCGCGATCAAAAACCAGCGGGAAAGTAACGAGGAAAGCCCTTTCCCCTAGTGGGAAACCGTCTCTCCGGATGGATTTGCAGTAAATATTCGCCGGTACGGTTTCGGAGAGCCGATTCAACGACTACGATGTCGGCGCTAAATATTTATAATCTTGTCACCGCGACGCGTCGAGGCGGCGCTTAATCGTGCGACCGAGTTGTTTCATAAAAAATTAAATCCGCCTAAGTCAACATTAAGTCCTGTCCTCTATTCCACCCTATGACGTCGGTAAGACCTGCAGATTTAACGAGGTTGCAGTCTCTCGAAAAGTTAAGGCAATCGAGTTATAAAATATCTCTTTAAAAATTCGAAACCCTCTTCAGGAGTTCGCGCAGAGTTCGGAGTGTCAAAAACGGCACCCTGAAGTTTCAGTGCTTTTCTTAAAACCGCTGTAAAGGAGCAGTTCTTTATTTTATTTTCAGATTCGCCGATCACCTGGGCGCGTATTTACGGCCGGCAATAAGGAAAACGTCCGAGCGGAAAAGTTATCCCTCGAAAATTTAAATTCCCCGAGACGTGGCGGAAAAGGGGAGAGGCGAATGCAAATCAATTGTTACGCCAGGATGGCGGCAGCGACGTGCCTGCTTTTCTATTTGCTCCTTCCCTATCGAGACACATCCTTATTAATGAGACGAGACCGGAACGAATTCCCCTCTTCTCCCGGTAGCGAATTCAATTTCGCCAATCGACTCATCGCGACTGCATTCTATCAGTGGCACCCTGGAGGTCGTCCTCGGCTCTCGAAACGGCGAGCAGAAATCTTTTTCCGCCCCCTGCAACGAACCTGGGACCCGATTCTCGACTGTATACGATCAACTTTCGCATACGATATTGACAGTTTCGTATACAACTTTCAACAGTTGATATTCTTGAGTGATTACCGCGGTTTCGTATTCGGATAATACCACGCGAATTACATCGCATAGGTCATAGCATGCGAAAGAGATCATTCGTATATGAAAATAACATGAAACTATCGGTTTTTATGAAAGGGTTGAAGATCAATATAACCATATAGGGAATGATAGGAGAAAAAATAAACAATTGCTAAAGCGAACATTTCATTGGTTCGGGCATTTCACAGACAAGCGGCGACAATGTGAAATTTTTCATGCGAATCTATTCGTATGCGAAATATTTCATGCGAAGCTATTCGTATGCGAAATATTTCATGCGAATCTATTCGTATGCGAAATTTTTCATGCGAATCTATTCATATGCAAAATATTTCATGCGAAGCTATTCGTATGCGAAATATTTCATGCGAATCTATTCATATGCGAAAAAATCCGTATGAACTCGAGAATCGTGCCTCTGGCCCCTGAAATTCACGTTTGTCAAATTACTCAAAACTTACACTACACTTACACTACAAAAGGAAGAGAAACGCGAAAAAAAATGGCGGGGAACGCTTCGGCGCTTTGAGAGAATATGAAAGGCGCTATGAAACATAATCAACGTCGATTAAGCAAAATTCATCTATATCCTTTTTGGTGGTAATGTCATTTTAAATCCTCAAATGGTAACACAGATATACAGAATGACTCTTTCATATCACCTTAAATTCTTGATGTATCGCGAATTTCTCCATTAGATACGCAGATAGGATGTGCATTCGAAGTGTCGCAAATTGTACACTTGGAATTACCGTATAACAGTTATTAAAGATAACGGGCCTCGGTATAATAAATTACCCCCGAGAGGTCGGGCCACGACGCTCGTCTTCGTCGCGACGTTGAAGCCATTAGCGTCGCGAAAATGAAAGGCGAAGTTATCATTTTCTCCCTACACCTGTCTCCTCGTCTTTTGACTATCACGTGACGCTCTTTATAAAGTTTGCAATGCAGACGCGACGACTGCACTCCCTGAAACGCATAACCAAATGGCACCATAATCGTAGTTGGCTTCGAAGGAGATTCACCTGTACCATATGATTCTATTTTACTACATTTAAAAGACTATACCAAATACAAGGAATTTTTAATCGGTGATGGGCTATCTCCCAAAGAAATTGCACTTTGCTTTAAATTATTTATTGTCATAGAGATGTCACGGAAACGGTGACAACTCATCGTAGGACTGGAACTTCGTGAAGAAACTACGAAAGGGAACAGATAACGAAATGGGAAACGGACCGGTCTTTACTTTCCTATCCAGAATTTAGCATAGAAGTACAATTAACGCGTTCTGGCCTTTGAGACTGATTTCGTCACAGGCTTATCATGCACTTCGACTTTTTACATGAATTTCACTTCCCTCGGAAACTGCGAAACATCCTGTAATAAAAGCCCGAGCCTTTTATTATCACACGAGCATTATTAACGAGAAAGTTTGGAGTGTCTGTAATTACCCGAGGTTATTCTGAAAATGGCGAGCAATGCATTTATACCGAGAAATGTCCGAAAGACTTGTATTACGATTTAATAAGTTAGAAATATTTGTATTAGAAGAAGACATTGAATTTTCGTAATCGACGATCGTTTCGGAAAAAAGCACCTAATATTAATTGCTGTTCAAAGAACGCGTAGACGTCCTTTTTCGAGGAGTTGGAAACAAATCTTCCAATTTGATGGCCTCTGGCTTTCGGTGACTAAATTAAGGGACGAGCTGATACAAAGAAACAGGATAAGGGAAACGGAAAGGGTAACACGGGAGCTTTATTACACCAAGCTGTAGAGAGAACACCGTCCCTTCGATGTACGCCGTACCAGAATCCTCTCTTTGAGTCTAATGAACCACCTAATCACATTATCATGAGCCCAGTTTCTACTTCTCTGTGGAGCATCGGAACGTCAACTGGTCAGTGTACGTAATTCGATCGAGTAATCACAAGGCAGGAGTATTTCATACAAGGTACTGTATTTTCGGTTGTCCGCCACCACCGAAGCATCAACCACTAATAAAAAAAGCGACTGGTGAAACCCGTCAAACTTTAAAGAAGAACAAATAAGATGAAAAAATAAACATGTCAAGTAGAAAACTCCCGGAGATTCCACGAATAAATTAAACAAAGAGACGGCGAAATATAGGGAGAACGAGAAAATAACG